GCCAGGGGACCCTTCTGAGCCCCAAGGGGCCCCTAATCCCGTGCTCAGGGGACCCCTCGCTGAGGGCACCCCTCCCCCGGCAGCTCCTCTGCAGGGTCACGGCTGGTCCTGGCCCCGGGCTGGCTGTGTGCTACGCACAGGGCACTGTCCCCCAAGCCCTGCGAGCCCACGGGGTCTGCTCCTCCTGCCCAGCCAGAGCTGGCACTGACCTGGCAGCAGAACACAGGCGAGGAGGGAGAGAGGGAGGGGTAACAGGCAAGTTGGCTCTGACTCTGCTGCCTGAAACATCCTTGGTGGTTTACCCGAGGACGGAGGGCGAAAGCCCAGGAAGGGAGATTTGCGGGAAACAAAATGGAAAACCTGAGGGGCCACAGTGCCTGCGTGAACTGGATGGTTTCGGGGAGGCAGTGAGCGCCCCTCACCAGAGGAACGTAAAGCGGGAAGTGAGCCAGCCGAGTTGGATCGGGACCGGGGCACTGCCACAAAGCCTGAGCCGCGCTGCGTGGTTTCACTCACTGAGGCGGCCTCATGTGGACAAGGGCTGGGCAGGGCCAGCTGGGGCCCTTTGAGCCTGCAGCTCACTCAGAGCTTTCCAGGTGAGGGGCAGAGGGGACACGCTCGCAGCCAGTTCTCCCAACGCCGATTAGGCTCCTACTGTGTGCCGCCTGTGGGAGCCTCTGGGCCCGGCCCACACACCTGGTATGGTCCCCCAGGCTGGCAGCCCTTTGAGTGCTGCGCGCTGTCAAAAGCAAGAGGCTGCTCTGCTGCACTGCTGGGGCTCAGGCCCTGGGGGAGCCAAGACAACAGTCAACCTCGCCTAACAGTGAAGGAGGACAGATTCACCCTGGTGTGCAGTGGTCACACTGAGGGAAGCCGGCAACTGAGTTATTTGGCAACACAGGGTGGCATTTTATATGGGGGGGCGGGGGGCACTGTTCCTACAACGATGCAGTGAGCAGGGGCGGGGGCCTGGCTCCCCGTGGAGGCGCAGCTGCAGGGAGGGCACGCGAGGCTACGTGCACCGTGAGCCTGACCCTTCATCTCAGCGTTGTTGCAGTGGAGGCAGCAGAGAGGGGAGCTCCAAGTCGGGCAGTCCTGATTCTGCACTCCACGAGGAAGGCTGAGGCAGGAGGATCACAAATCTGAGCCCAGCCTAGGCCACTTAGTGACTTAGTCAGATGGGAGGGGGTCACTGATGTAGGCGGCACCCCCTGCAGACCGGATCCCCCAGGCCCTCCCAGGAGCCCAGCTCCCTCCTGAAGCCTTGTGGAGGGCCCTGTTCTCTGAGACAGCCAGTGAAGAGCTGAGGAAGCGGGAGGAACCGCCCACCAGGAGGAACAGCCGCTCCGAAGGCTGGGGTGCACGTGAGGCAGAAAATCCCCTGCGCCTGAGCCCAGCGCAGCTGCCTCCCCACCCAGCCTCTTGCTGCGTGGGGTCTCTCGCCAGGGCCCCAGCCCCTGTGGGGCGTCACCCTTGACCACATGCATAGCCTGGGACAGGGACGGTCCTTCCGGGGCTTCTGCATGGCCAGGGAAGCCTGCCTAGCCAGGACTGCAGCATCCATCAGGCCTCGGTTCCTGGCTACATGGGGACCTGTGGTCACCTGGAGAGGAAGCCAGGAGGGAGGGAGGGCCTGGCTCTGTGCGGGGCGGGTGGGGGAGTGCGGTGGCCGGTCTGGGTCTGCAGCCCGCGGTGGGTGGGTTTATCCTAGGCCTGGGTGCCAGCAGAGAGGGTGGGCAGGGCTTGTGGCTGGCCAGCCCTGTGTTCCCAAAGCTCTCAGTCCGGACTCCAGGCACCCCACCCCACCCCTGCAAGGTCCTGGGTGCTTCAGTTACTCCCCACCCCTGCAAGACAGGCCTGAAGGCCCCCTGGGGTTCTCCAGGTCCCCAAGCCCTGGGGGGGTACCTGAGAGCTGAAAATCTGCCCTATGGGATTGGCTGATGTCCAGGGCTCCTGCTCCCCACAAAGCCCTGGTCCACAGATCTGTCTACCTAGCGTGGGAGGTGTGCATATCCTGTTTCCCCTTTCTTCTTGGCTGCCAGGTGGCTCTGGGCATGTTTTGTGTCTCCTTTAATGGACTTTCTGCATCCGTGCTTTCCCTCCGCCCTGCACGGCTGATTCCTTATTTCAGCCATAATGATCCTATTGCGCCGAGGTTTTTTACTGGGAGCAGCCACAAATCCTCTTGGCAGGAAAGAAAAACATTTTCGGTCCCCAGGGATTTCTTTTGGCCCAGAGTCTGCAGCTGACTCTGCTTCCCAGGCGAACCTCAGAGGATGGCACTGTGCCCTGCTGGAGGCCCCGACCCCTCAGCACCCAGTGGGGAAGAATGCACAGCCCGTGGCACTGGGTCTCCAGGGAAGGGACTTGGGGGACGCAGGGCCCCTGCCTGGCAAACCCACACGGCCACTGCCCCAACACTGCCCTCACCCCAGCCCTGCCACACACCCACAGACCGCCCTCAGGTGCCCCTTCCCAAGCTGTGAGAACATTTGAGCTGCTCCTCTCCCTGCTTTGCACAAGCTCAGAATCCACACAGGATGGGTAGGAATGAGTCACCCAGCCTGGGCCAGGCACAGGGTCCCGGAGAGGCCAGCATGGGAGCCAGTGCCCCTCCGGGCTGTCCCCTGCCTTTGTGGTTTGTCCCCCACAGCCATCACAGAGCCCCAGGCCACAGTCACCTGAGCCTTGGTTTCCTCAAGCAAGACAGAGACTGAGAACCCTGGCTCGGCAGGGCAGACTTGAAGGGAGGCAGCAGGCTGGGCTGGATCCATGAAGATGAGGGAGGCCCACGGCAGAGGCCAGACCTGCTGGCCAGCGGACATCGAGGGCAGCACCTGGCTCTTTTCCACACTCCAGAGACGGTGCCCTGGTGGTGTCCTCAGCACCCGCAGAGCAGTGCCAGCACACATCCCCGGGGAGATGGAGGAGCAGCCGGAGACCAGCCTGAGTCCCCGAAGCAGGCAGGCAGGCAGCCGCCTTGGGTCTGTTCACGGGCTGAGGCCCTGTGTGAGGTGATCACCCTGGGTCACACACTCAGCAGTCCCCACGTGCCTGGCAGGGGCAGCTCCAGGTCTGGGGAAAGGAGGAGCAGGTGGCTGACATTCCTGCAAGGGACGCCTGCCATGTGTCCCAGCTGCAGGCTGTCCCCACCCTGCACCAAGGTGCACACGTGACAGCTATGAAGCTCTAAGCAACCGGCAGGCTCTGGCCAGGGCAAACATTTCCCCTGCAGATCTCAGGGGTTCGAAGCAAACCCAGACCCACTGACTGGCCCCCAGCTATGACGCGGGTGGCCCTGAGCCAAGGTGACCCCCACACCCTCTGCAGCCTGGCACAGGGCTCCACCCCCACCACAAGCACAGCCTTGGTTTCTAAAGCATGCCTGGACCTTCCCACCTCTGGTCCCTGCCCCGGGTCCCCTCCTCTGCCCAAGAAAGTGGCCCATTCGTGACCTCAGAGAGGCAGGAGGGGTTGGAAGAAACATTGCCTAGGCAGTTAGGATTGAAATTGGAGCCCTGGCTGGGTTTTATCACCAGCTGTGCGACCCCAGGCAGGTTAATTCATCCCTCTGGGCCCCCTGAAATATGCTCCCAAAGGGTTATTCCTCTCAAGGCAAGGGCATCCTGGTTTGGGCTGGGCGTGGGGCCAGCAGTTTGGACCCCTCCTGTAAGCTGCACAGTGCAGATGCTGGAGAGGAAATTCTAAGACCGTGGGCTTGGGGTCTTCCTTAAGGACATGGGTGATACCTTGGCCATCCCAGGGCACTCATCAAGCCCCCTCCTGGCAGAGGTCACCCCAAGGGCCCCCGACTCACCGGCAGTGCGGACCATTCCTCTCTCCACAATGGGAGTGAGGCCCAGGGGGAGCTGGTGTCTGTCTAGGCCAGCGGTGGGCAGTCAAACGGGTTCTGATCCACCTGGGCCGCTCACTCCCCACACCCTTCCTCTCCGTGCCCTGGGTGGGCTCCCCCTCTATGTCCAAGCCTGTCACACAACTAGTGTAAGGGTCACCTCGTGAGCTAGCGTGGACAGTCTGGGCTGGCTCCTGCAGGGCCCATGCAGGAATGAGAAGGCCAGGCAGCTGTGTCTGCAGGGGTCTTTCCCATGGACTTGCCCTGGTCCCTGCCCGGGGGACAGGGCTTAGAGACAAAGGCAATACTGAGGGGTAAGTCCCTGAAAGCACAGACCCTGGGCCACAAGAGGCCGAGACATGTGCTCGGGGACCCAGGAGACACGTGGGCAGCAGGGGAGGGCAGCAGGGAGAAGCCTGGGCACGAAGGGGTGGAGCCCTGGAGGAGCCCCGAGCTGGAGCTGGAGGTGTGCACCTCAGGGGCTCTCCCTTGCTGTGCGCAGCTCCAGCTTCCAGCCCTGCACTCAGGTACCCCAGGCTTAGCCACACTCTGCAGCAGGGGCTGGAGGAGCCCGTGGGGTCCCGGCCAGCTGAGTGGCCAGCACCCAGGAAGCCAGCACCATGGACGTGCCCTTCTCTAGCCCCTGCTGAGGGGCAAGGGTGAGCGAAAGGTGGGAGAAGCCCTAGGCCACAGGCATGGGTTCCAGCTGCCTCCTCAGCCAGGACAGGTCCCCACCCTCACTGCTCAGGGCCTTAGAAACGCTAGCAGGTGGCACTTGCTCTTGCAGACACAGGTCTGATGACGGGGGTGCCAGCCCACCCCGCTTCCCTAATAGGCCAGCCCGAAAGGGTGTGGGCTTGGAGGGCCCCTCCCCCACGGCAGCAGGTGCCTGGATGGGGCAGGGACGGGAATGCAGGGTCAGTCCCCGGGGGCTTCGGATTCCTTCGCTTCTTAGCCTCTCACAGTGCAAGAATGCTGAGTATGTTCTCCATGTGTACAAGCATTTAGCTTTCTAACAAGACGCAGGAGGGGACCCTGGAAACCGGGGCCCCAGAGCTCTCCTGCGGCAGTGGAGGGTGGTGAGGCAGGCTGAGGGTCTGGAGGCCACCGCACCCGAGCGTGCAGGACAGAGGGCTGCTCCCGGCACTTAGATTACAAAGGTTTATTTAGAAAATAGTTTGGTTGTTTTGGCTGTCGTTTTCGGCAAACACTGAAATACTCTCAGTAACCAGACTGGGTGCCTTCTAAACTCGTTGCTCCCGGGAAGCCAGCCCTTGCTCATCGGGGACGCTGCGCAGTGTGTGTCTGGGGGTCTCTTCTCTCGCCCATGTGGGGGTCGCACCCTCTGGCTTTCACAGCCACGCCCCATGGGGGCCCAGGAGCTGGACCCAGGCCTGCAGGCCCGGAAGTAGCCCCCGCTGAGAGGGGAGGCAAAGGGGGCCCTCTTTCCTCCCCACTCCCCTGCGCCCCCGGGCCAGTCTGCCCTGGGTCTCTGGCCAGGATGCGAGGTCACTGTCGGAAGCCCCTTCGCCTTCGTCGGAAGAGGATGTGCTTAAAGGAGCGCCGGAAGTCCTGGTTGAAGACGGTGTAGATGACTGGGTTGAGTGAGCTGTTGCAGTAGCCGATCCAGAAGAAGAGCTTGAAGAGCGGGCCGGGCAGCTGGCAGGCCTCGCGGCAGATGCCGTACAGGCTGTAGCTGAAGAAGAAGGGGAACCAGCACAGCACAAACACGCCCATGACCACGGCCAGCACGAAGGTGAAGCGCTTCTCTCGAGCCTGGGCCACCTTGCGGCGGCACACGCTGCTGCGCGCCCGGCGCCGGCGCGACAGGAAGAACTCGACGGAGCGCGAGCTGGCGCGGGACAGGCGCCCTCCGGGCCCGGGGGACCGGGACGCCGACAGCGCTCCCGGCTCGGGGGGCTCGGACCCCGGCCCCTGTGCTTCCGCGCCCCCCTGGCGCCGCCGTGCGCCGCGCCGCAGTGCACCCCTGCGCAGCCTCTTCTCGGCCGTGCTGCTCTCGTCCGGCTCCACGTCGGCGCGCGGGAGGGCGCAGTGCCCATTCTCTCCCGCTGCCGCCCCTGCCGCCCCCACGCCGTTCTCCGTGGCCCGGGACGCGCCGTCGTAGCCCACGGGCCCGCGCTTCTCGCTGAGCGTGCGCGTGCGCAGCTTGGCCACGCGGTAGATGCGCGCGTAGACCAGGCCCATGATAAGGCAGGGAGCGAAGAAGGAGCCGATGCAGGAGGACAGGATGTACCAGGTCTCGTCGTTGAGGCCGCACTGCGGGTAGGCGGCGCCATCGGGCTGGCGGTAGAAGGAGACGAGTGGCGGGAAGGAGATGACGGCCGAGATGAGCCACACAGCTACGATAGTGGCCTTGACTCTGCGTGGCGTGCGCTTCAGGTTGTACTCGACGGCCTGCGTCACGGACCAGTAGCGGTCCAGACTGATGGCGCACAGGTGCACGATGGACGAGGTGCAGAAGAGCACGTCGAGTGCCAGGTACACGCCGCACCACACCTGTCCGAAGTACCAGTAGGCCATGAGCTCGTTGGCCAGCGAGAAGGGCATGACCAGCGTGGCCACCAGGATGTCGGCCGAGGCCAGTGACACCAGGAAGAGGTTCTGCGGCGCTCGCAGCGCCCGGCTGGTCAGCACGGCGATGACCACCAGCACGTTGCCCACCACGGTGAAGACGATGAGAAAGCCCACCACGGCCGCCAGCCCCGCCACTGCGCCTGCCGAGTACTGGCTGGGCGGCGGCCCCCACACGGCCCCCGAGGCATTGGCGCCGCCGCCGCCCTCGCCCGCACCACTCGCGTTGGGGCCCTCCGCGGCCACCAGCGCCGGGGACGCCATGGTCCTCCCGAGAGCTAGGCTGTCCGGCCCGGGGCGCAGCCGCCGCAGTAACTCTGACGCCCCCCAGCACGGGCCGGCGCCCACATCGCCCCGCAGCCGGCCCTCGGCCGTGGTGGCCTGGCGGGCGGAGCGCTGGAGAGCCTGGCTGCCGGGCTCCCTGCCGCTGCCGCGCGCGAGTGCACAGCCGGAGGCGCCCGGAGCGAGCGGCAACGCGGTGGCGAGGGGGAAGGGGAACAGGTCCTGGGGTCCCCGCGCGGCCCCGCTCACGGAGAGCGCCCCGGCAGCGAGCCCACGTTGAGGCTGCGCCCCAGCGGATGCGCCCGGGCGGCTCCACTGTCCCCGCGCCCGGCCGGGGCACAGGCTGCAGGCGGCGGCGGCCCAGGCGCTCCGCCTCCCATCCGGGCGGCTACGCGGGCTGCTGCTCCTCCGAGTCCCAGCGCCCGCGCGTAGCCTCCGGCTTCAACTTTACTTTCCCGACCCGGGCGCCGGGGCCGCCGCAAGTCCTCCCGCTGCTCCGGGGCGAGGGCGCCGCCTCGCCTCCCTCGCTCGCCAGCGCTGCGCCGCAGCCTCCTCCTACTCCTCCAGTGCAGCCGCTGCCCTGCGCTCGCCGAGAGTGCAGCCGCCCGGGCTCGGCTTCCAACTTGGGTCGAGTTGCGCAGCGGGGAGGGCGCGCGGGGCGGGGCGGGGCGCCGGGCAGGCCCTAGCCACCGCCTCGGGGTTGGGGGTGGGGGGAGCGGGCGGGCAGCCGGAGCCCGCGGCCGCCTCGGAAAACCTGGCAGCGTGGCGCCGGGGAGGAGTCCAGGGCGGCGGCGCGGGGCGCGCGCTTGGCGAGGGCGCCCCCTCCAGGGTCGACTGCAGCCTGCCTGGCTGGGGTGAGCTCGGGCTGGCCTGGGCGGTGAGTTCTAGAAGCCTGCTCTTTCTAAGACGGGAGGCGCCTCGCCTCCCCCAGCACAGGCACACACGCGCGGGCGCGCACAGCGGCGCGCAGCACGGCTGGCCTGGGGTCCGAGGCCTGATTGGAGGGCGAGGCGCTTGCAGCCGGGCGTAGTACGCGGCACCACCAGCTGCGCACTGGCCAGGCGGAGCTTGGGGTCCGCGCTCCCCTGCGGAGCCGCCCCCTCCCCAGGCCTCGGGTCCCTCCTCTGCGCGCTGCTGCTTCGCGATGCTGGAGCATGAATCATAACAGCGGTGTCTGTGCAGCCCCGGGCGGGCTCCCAAGCACGGCGCCCATCTTGGCAGTATTTGAAGTTCAATTCTTCCCCTGTGTGACCCTTTTAAAGGCGGCGGCGGGGGGGGGGGGTTCTGTCACTGCCTCCGACAAACCCCAAACCCGGCAGCTTTGGAGTGGGTGCAAAGGAAAGCCACTGGTGGGCGGCCCAGCCCCCACCGGGCCCTGTGCATCCCTTTAGGAACTGTCATGCAGGCTGGTCTGGGTGCTGCGCGCTGGTCCCTCAGTGGGGGACAGACCTCCAGGGAGGAAGTGCCCAAGGGGTTCCGCTGGAGTACCGAGGCATGACATTGCCCCCATAGTAGGAACCTGCCCAGCTGGCCAGGGGCCTCTGCTGCATGGTCAGGTGGGGCGGAAGGGGCACTGCAGTCCTGCGCAGGGGCCGGTGCTTGGCCTCATAGGAGGGATTGGGCTTCCGTGCCCCAAGCCCAGGAGGGAGTCCCGGAAGGGTGCCTGTCTGGGGGTGCCTTCAGAGCACCCCGAGGGTGACTGCTTTCACTGCTTGGGCTGGTGTTCTCTTGTAAGGCTGGGGAGGCTTCCTGGGGGCACGGCCAGCTTAGCAGGTGTCACTGGAACCTGGCCCCCGTGTTCACTGTTTGTCACCAGCGGAGCCAACACTTGAGGCTGCCTGAGGCAGGGTGCATCTGGAGACAGTGTCCCGGCCCAGTCCTGGGTGTTCAGACACTTAGCGGAAACAAAGAGCTGTGGCTGGCAAGTGAGGGGCAGGAGAGCCACCGTGATTGTCAGAGGCCCCTTGGGGCCTGGAGACCCAGTAGGTGCCACCAGTCAGGGCACCTGGGTTATGAGGACCCACACTTGGCATCCTCTGTCATTGGCACACTGGAGCCCTGGTTTCCAGGGAGGCCTGGTATTGCAGGGCCCACTCTCTGGGGCAGACGGGGCCCCACACTAAGGGGAGCGCTCAGGGGTCTTCCCAGTCTGGAGCAGGACTTCGTGGAGGAGGTGATGGTGCCACAGGAAGGGAGCCAGCTTTTGAGGAGGGCAGGGCCAGAGGAGGGCACAAAGGTAGTGGCCTTGGGCAGAGGTCACTGCCCCGCAGCTGCGCTGTCATGGGGCTCCCGCACAGGAGGGGTCTCGCCTCCTGAGCAGCACTTCAGGGGGTGCACGGGCCTTAGGGGTCCATGCGGGGTCCTGCTCCAGCCACAGCCCCCTGTGTTCACAGGTGATGGCAGCCTGGGCGCAAGAGCAACAAGACTTCTCGCTGCCCGGGGGGCTGCTCCCAGGCCAGGGCGGCTGAGGCCATCTGGAGTGGCCGGCCAGCATGTGGCCCAGGCCTTTGGGGAGGGACAGTTGGCTGCTGCGGCCTGAGCTCCTGGCCTAACCAGGAGGACAGGAGGAGCCACACCAGGACCTGGAGCCGAGGGTGTGAGGTGGATGGGGCCCCTGTACCCCGTGCACAGGTTGGGAGCCCTGGGCTGTGCTCAGACGCAGTGCGTGCAGAACTTTTGGTGCTGAGGCCCCAGGGAGCGCGGCTGTTTGTAATGCAGCCAGAGGAGCCTCCTGCCCAGACATGGAAAGTGCTCTGATTGTCAGGCACCAGCATGTGCCCAGGAAGACGCCTTCCCGGAGCAGCTGGTGGCCAGGCAGGCTGGATGTGAGCAGAGGTGGCAGAAATGTGGGGAGTCCCCCGTGGGGGGCGGCGGTGGGTGTGTCTGTGCACGCTCAGGGGTGTGTGGGGAGGGGCGAGTGCTTTGCAGAGAAAGCCTGGGGCTGCAAGGCGCAGAGGACTTCACCTGTCTGGTGCGGGGCCCAGAGGGCTGGCTGCTGTGCCCAGGCAGGAGCTGCCCTGTGGGGATGGGGACGCTCGCCTGGGGGCACGGGATGTGGTGTTCTGCGCTCTGAGCAGCCTCAGCGTGGGCCCAGAGCTTGTCTCCCTGAACCACCTCACTGCACATGCACCTCCTCCACACACGTGTATCTGCTCGCCCACCTGCACATCTGCACACGAGTGTTCACATCCTCACCCACACAGAAGTGCACACTTCTGTGTGTGCGCATGCACACTTCCATGTGCATGTAGACATGAACATCCATGGATATACACACACCTACACGAATGTGCACTGATTCATGCACTGCTGTGCTTGCACACTTACTGGCATGCACACATCTCTGTCCACACCTGTGAGTGCACTGCACGCTTGCGTATTTTCCATGTATTGTGCACCCACAAGTTTACCCACTCACACACAAATGCGTGCATAGATGTCCACATGCATGTGTGCACACCACTTGTGCATGCACTTGCTCACACATGTGCACACACGCTCACATTCTCACCCTCCTATGTGACAGGCATACGCATCCAGACACATGCACAGGTACCACGTTTGTGCATATAATCATGAACAAGCACACACAAACATACTCTTGTGCATACACATCCATGTAGGTACATATGCTTTGCATGGTGTACATCTGTGCACACCTGGGTGGACACATGGCTGTGCACAGCCCACTCCCACAGGGCATGCACACATGTGTGCACGTGTGCACAGTTGGCCCAGCCGACTCCCCGAGCTGCAGAGCAGACTTGTGCTGTGCCCACCACAGCAGCCCTGCCCGAGTGGGTCTCCCCTGCACCTTGCTCTCGGGCAGTCCTTCAGCCCTCTCCGTCTAGACTGAGGGCCACTTGCCCTTGCCCCGTGTGGCCCCTGGGCATTGGCACTTGCTAGTCTATCCTATCTTTGCCTCCCTATCTGTCCCTGAGACTCTCTTCCTTCCTGACTGGTAGCCTGTGGCCCCTCTTCCGGGAAGCCACCCTGCTCAGCCCAGCTGGGCCCTTCGCCCCTTTGCCTGCTTCCTGGGTGCTGCCCAGGCAAGGCTATGAGAGTGAGCAGTTCTTTGGTAGTGGGTCTTGGGGGTGCATGCCCCGCTCCGCTGGTTCCAGCCCCCACTCTCTGCTCCTAGGAGGAGCTCCCGTAAAGCTGCCGAGGGCGTGGGTGGCAGGAGGGAGGGGCCTTTCAGGGAGCCCTGAGCCTCTGTCCTCCAGCCTCAGCCCGGCTGGGAGCCTCTGGGTGCTCCGTGCATCCAGGTGGGGCCTCTCCCTGGCAGCTTCCTCTGCCAGCCTGGCATCCCAACCCAGCAGGCCCTTCCGGGTTGGCTCAAAGTGGGGGAGCCCCCTGCCTTCCTGGCTTCAGTCTCCCCTGCCTGGGAGTGGGGGCATCAGGCCAGGGCTCCTGAGGTCCATGCCTGCTGCACACTGATACCCTGTGTGCCATGTCTGCCTTTGCCATCCACGGGTGCCCGTGGGGGTGAGGAAAGCCGGGCCCAGCAGAGACCACTGCCCTTGGCCCGGCCCTGCGGGTGCAGGCAAAGCTCGGCGGCTTCCATATCTCAGCGCCAGATGCACGTGTTTCCTCCGGCTGAGCTGAGGATCTTTCCCTGTGTGTACTGGAAATTTCATTTTTCAGTGTGAGGCAGGACAGAGTGAGGCTGGCTTCTCTCCCGCCCCTCCTGCAGGCTTCCAGAAACCGATCTGTCTCGTCAGAAGGCGGCCAGCCTGGCCCTGGGCACACAGCCGCAGACGGAATCCATTGCGTATTGATCGCCGATGGATTTGTCGTAGCTGAGTTCCGACAGCCCCCGGGGAGGCGGCTCCAGCACGCGGATTGGCCTGCGTGCAGCGGATTAGAGCAGGGCTTGGGGCTCCTTGAGCCCTGCTGTGCTCCGCCCCCCTCGGCTGCCCGAAGGCCTCACACTGGCCTCTCTGCCGCCCCACAGCCTGTACCTGCTTGCCCTGGCCTGGCCTTGGAAGCCAGGCCTCCCCCCGCATCTTCGTCCCATCATTCAGTCCAGGGTACCCTTGGTGTGGCAGCGACAGGCAGGCAGGCCCAGGAGCCTCTGCTCCTGCCCTCCTGGGCCTGGGCCTAGGGAGATGGTGGCTGCTGGGCCTGCACCTGGGCTCAGCTCACTGGGTTCTACCCACGTGACCTCGGGAAGAGCCTGTCTCTCCCAGCTCTTTGGCTCCTGTGCAGGGTCCCCAGGAGGGCCTCTGAGGAGTTCCCGGCACCAGCTTGCTCATCCCAGGGGCTGCAGAAGGGGGCTGGGGGACTCAGGCCTGATGACAAGCAAGAAATGGGCAAGAAGACCCATTAGCTGCCTTCCCCTTTGTTGTGCATCTGCAAACATGTGATGCCCGGAGCTGTGGCAGCTGTCATGTGATGAAGAGGAATTGAGCTGAGGAGCAGGAAAGCCATCGTGAGAAAGAGGCTGTGTCCCCACACTTTGTCCTTTGGCCTCCACGACCCCACTCTGTGGCCCCCCTTTGGCCAGGCGTCCTCCTGCTGAGGGAGGGAAGCACGTGCAGCTGCTACTAGATCCCTTCAGGGAGGAGGGTGCTGTAACCCACCGGCCACTGTACCCTAAGCAATCGGCCACCCCGGCCCTCTTCTGCCTCCCTGGACAGTGGCAGCCGGTGGTAAGCAAAACAATCCCCCCTGCCCTAGCCCACAGCTGCCCGCGTTCTCCACATTCTAATCCCGCGACCGGCAAGTGTGGCCGTAGGGACCAAAGGGGCCCTGCAGCCCTGACTGAACGAGGGCCCGCGTGGCGTGGGGCCCGGGGGCCCAGGTGGGCCGGCATAACCAAGTCCTGAGTGAGAGGGGGAGGTTGCCGTGCTGCAGACTGCAGCGGCTTCCAGACCCGGGAGACCCGAGACAGCTCCCCCAGCCCCCAGGAGGATTGGGCCCTGCAGACGCCCCGGTCACACAGCGCGGTGGGTCACTCAGCCTACTGCAGCCTCAGTTTCCTCAACTGTGCACTGCCCACTTCTGAACTGTTCACCTTGTTCCAGGAGCCCGAGTTACTTTGGCAACAGTTTTTACAATTCCTATAAAAATAAGCAATCCTGGTAAGGTCTGACACCCCGCACGCTCTCCATCAGTCCCTGCTGACCTTCACCATCAGCCGTCCCCGCTGTCAGCAAACCCCGGCCAAGGGTGCGTCTCTGCTCAGCTTTGCCAGGAAGGCAGTTGGGCCACAGAGCACGGAGCCCCATGACCTCAGCCGCGTCATTCTGGGAGCGCCGTACAGCGGGCCACTGAAGGGCTGCAGAATCACCGTCTTGTCCCCACTGTGGCACAAATGGAAGCCAGGGGCACCGCCTGCCCTAACCCACGAGGGCCGGGACAGCTCCCTGTGGACGGCGAGCGTGGCGTGGACATTGCTCTCGGGGCCCAGCTTCCCCACCCTGAGCTCTGACACCTCCCCGCCACCCTGGGAACCTGCCAGGGCTGTGTGTTAGGAAAACAGCTGTCCTGCTATGAGTTGTGAGTGTGACCGCCACCGACAAGGGCAGCCAAGCCAGACGGAGTTCAGAGCTGGAGCCCTCACTGTTTGGAATGCTCACGTCCGAGCGGACCCTGGACTTCGCTGGCTTCCTTCTGCGTGTGTCCAGGCGCCCAGGTCTTCCCAGCAGGCAGTGTGGCAGGCGGAGCAGCCACCACAGCCCGGAACGTTTGGGGTGGAACCTGGACATCTTGAGCCCAAACTCGGCAAGATCAGCTGTGTTCTCTTCTTGAGTTTTCCCTTCTCAGAAACCTTTAGGAGAACACAGGCCCCCAGTGTGAGTCACTGGTTCAAACTGGAGATGTCCCCTGAGGGGGATCAGAGCTACACTGACACTTGTCAGGGTGCAAGTGATGCTGCTGTAACAAAAGACCCAAGACACAGCAGTGTGGACGGGCGGCATCCCTTTCTCTTGTGCACAGGGCTGGTGTGGTGGCCTGGCAGGGGTGAGGACCCAGCTCCTGTCTCTTTCCCTAGCCACGTGGAGCAGCCCGCATCCCTGGGAGCCCTCAGGTGGGACGGCTCAGCCATGGCTGTAGCGTCTTGTCCACGTGAGTCTGCACAGCGGGATGGGCAGCTCACGCGGTGACCAACACTGCCAGAGGCTGGGAAGAGGAAGGGGGGAGTGTTCTTGGGGTCAGGCCTGGGGTTGAGGTCCAGCCATCACGGGGAGCAGGTGGTGCACAGCCCAGTTGGGGTCTGAACCCAGACAGATCGGCTCCCAGGGTCTCCAGCACCCCGCCCTGGTGTGTCTTCCCCGGCCCTTGGAGCAAACCTACAGCCGATGCCCCATGACATCCACTGCGCCGCCACGTCCTGGACTCAGTTTATCCCGCTGACAAATTCGTGGGTTGGTGCTGAGGTCTCCCCGGGCTCTGGAATTCGAATTCAGCAGGGCTTCTTCAGGTGAGGGGAGTCATCAGCCCTTGTTATGCAGGAACTGGGGAACACAAAGAAGCTGGGGCTTGGGCGATGGAACAAAGCATTAAGCAGATTCCATCAGGCACGGGTATACTTTTTGCAGAGCTTGTCGGAATTGCCCTGGGAAACTGTGTTTGACTTGAACAAAGCCTTGTATCGACAGGACATGTTATCGTTCAATTTCGAGGAAAGAGCAGTAATTAGATGGCTCATTCCAGATCTTGTTTCAATTACAGCTGGAAAAACGCATGAATCCGGCAAGGAGGTGAATGCCGCTTTTTCATCAGCACAGAGGTGCACTTTTAGGTCTTGGCCAGGACAGACGCAGGCAGCCCGCCGCCCTGGGGCTCCGCCTGGCCCTCTGAGAGGGAGGTGGAGGTGCCAGGGAGCCCTCCCCCGGCCCAGTGAAATGCTGAGGTCTTGGACCTTCAGGGTCTGGTGTGGGTACAAGGCCCACTGGTGTCAGGAGGGGGCGACATCCCAGGGCTCTGCCCCCGCAGACTGGCGGGGAGATGGGTAACACCCTCTCCGCCCCCAGGGGCCCTGACTATTGACGGGTGGCCCAGTGTTTCTCCCCCACCCGCCAGCCCCCAGCGCAGCTGCCTGAGTCCAAACAGCCAGGAGCACAGGCCGGCTACTCTCCCCAAGGGACCATCACCTGGGCTGCCTCCCCTCTTTGGCCTCCCCTGTGCACTTCCAGGAGCTCAGGGCTGGACCCGACCCCTGTCCCCTACCCTTCCCACTGTGACCTTCTGGCTCCCTCCCTCACCTCCCAGGCCAGCACACCCGTCCTCTGTGCTCTGGGGGTCATTTCACGGGGACCCCTGCCCGGCGCCAGGTGGACACATGAGACCAGCCGATGACCGGATGAGGGAGTGGGCATCGAATAAAGCCATCTCTGAGGCAGGCAGCCCTTGGGCCACCTTCCCAGGATCGTGGCAGGGAGACCAGGTGCTCCCTAGCCTCTGGCAAGCTTGGGGTGTGAGTCGCCCCAGCCAGTGCCAGCCTGAGCCCGGGCAGGAGGTGCGGCTTGCCTGGCTGGGCACCTTCTCGGGCCCCAGCTCTGATGAGAGAGGCCCGGTCCTGGTCCTCCCCAAGGATGTCACCCTGCCCCAGAGCTGCCATCCTTGGAGGCTCCCTGCCCTGGTGCCCTCTACCCCATGCAGTGTGCCCATGCACCCTGTGGACCTGGTCCTGGCCTAGCCAAGCTGGCTCCCTTCCTGCAGGGCCGCGTTCCTCTGCAGCCACAGCCCTGGCCAACCCCGACTCCAGCACGGCGCAGGTCCCTGTGGCTTCCGGCTGCCCTGTCCCTGCCCTGCGGGTCCCTTCCCTGTGTGGCCACCACTGCTCCTCCCAGGAGCCCTGAGTGCCAGACGCTTCCCACCATTGGACAGGGCCACCCAGAGGACCTCGGGCACGGGAACCCTGGGCCCTGGTGCCAACACCCCCCCACCCCCCCAGCTCTCTGCTTCGGTCCTCAGGTCTCTGTGGAGATGGCTGCCTCTACAGAGGGGTGTCCCCAGGCCCTGCAGCCCCTCCCTGTGCCCTGAGATGGCTGTGTTAGTGGTGGTAGGAATCCTGTGGGAGCATTGCTCAGAGGGGCTCGTTCCAAAGCTGAGCACGGTGCCACACACATGTAACCCTAGCACTGGGGAGGCTGAGGCAGGGGCATTGCCGCAAGTTTGATACCAGCCTGGTGTACATATTGAGACTCTGTTTCAAGAAACAAAACAGAAAACACCTGCTCCTGGGGCTGGGGGCGAAGGCCTCACCATTTTAAATCCAGCTCGAATGTGGGTGAGGGTCCAGGGCTCCGGGTCAGGGCTGTGGTTGCAGGGACCTTGTCATGCCCTGGTGCTCAACTCATGGCAGTGCTCAGTCCAGGCCTGGCGATGGTGCCAGCCAGCCACACCCTGGGCCCCTGCTGCACTGAGCCCCCCCCAGCCTTGGGGGAGCAGGCAGGGACCAGGAGCAGCTGGGCCGAGTGGCACGGGCGGCAAGGAGATGTCAGGAGGCTGGACACTGTAGCGATGCCCCTTTCACAATGCCAGCAGCAGGGGTGGGCAGGCACCACACATGCCTGTAACATGGCTCTGGCGGGCACTTGGGTGGGGACCCACGGCTCTGCGTGTGACATGCGTGGCTCTCAGTGGAAACCATCAGGGCAGGACAGTGGCATCCAGGACAGCGTAGGCAGCAGGTCCTGGAACGGGCGCCTCGGGTTGGCTGTCACAACAGCATCAAAGTGCCGCCTGTGGGGTGCTGGCCTCTGTCCAGCGTCCACTGCAGGGTGCACAGGCCACCGCTCTCGGTGTCCAGGGAGGAGTCTGCAGCGTAGGCCTGGCACAGGCTGTGGCAGCCGTGCCCTGGTCTCATTAAGCCATTAGGAGGGGTATCCATGGAAACCGCGTGCTCAGGCACTCGGCAGAGAAGAGCATTTATTCTATTAGCAGGGCTGGGTGCCAGGAGGCTTGGGCTCCTGCAGCGGCCGAGTCGGGGTTCTGGGAGAGCAAGCTGCCTGCTGGGGGCCACCACGCCCAGCCTCCACCTGCACGGTGGACGGCTCTGCAGCCTCTGCAGGTGGAGCAGCATGACCACCGTCCCCAGCAACCCGGCCCTGGGCATGTCTCCAGGGGAGCCGAGAGGGACACAGCTGTCCTTATGCACAGGCTCCTCTGGGTGGGCTGTGTGGATGCAGGCAGCTGCCATCCAGTCCCCGTGGCACGATGTCCCCGCCTCCTGCAGGGCCGGGCCCGGTGAGTTGCTCAGGAGTTGTCTGATTTATCTGCTTTGTGTTCTTGTTGCTTATTTCCTGCTGACTTATAACCACCCCCTGACCTAGCCTTCACTCAGGCTTGGGGTTCAAGGCCAAGGTTCCTGCACATGCCGTGCTCGGGCCTCCTGAAACATCAGCCTCGGTCTCGCTGTCACCCCCACCCACCCACTGTCTCACACCTGCCCATCGCCCACCTGTCTGTTCACTTGCGTGTGTGTGGCTCCCTGTCTTTTCAATCACGAGGGCAGGTAGTGGGGATCGAATCCAGGACCTTCGCTCTGAGCTGCATCCACAGCCATTTCTTTTCTAATGTTTTATCTTGAGACAAAGTCTCACTAAGTCGCCAAGTTGCCCAGGTTGGACTTGAACTCACAGTCCTCCTGCCTCGGCCTCTCAGAGTGCTGGGATCACAGGGGTACACCACCACGCTGGCTTCCGTGATTTATAGTTCATTGCTGTTTTTCATTATGTTGGTGCTCAATTGTTCCAAATTTGGACAAAAGAGCCCTTGCAAGCTGAGTCTTTGTGACTTCCCCCTCTCCCTCCCTCTCCCTCTCCCACCCCCTGTCCGTCCGTGCCCCCCCATAACAAGATGTTCTAATCTAATTCTGAACTGTTCCTTCCCCAGCCCTAACATCAGCCGCTCCTTCCGGGAGCTCGGGCTCCTGCCGGTGAGAAACACTGCGGAAAACAGGGTCGGCGGCCTTTCTGCAGGCACCAGGCACGCTGTCACATGAGCCCAGACGGCACTGACTGCAGCTTCTGGGTGGCTTCTCCCAGCCCCACACAGGCAGAAGCACACATGGGGTGAGCCTGCCCCTCCCATCCAGCCCAGACTGCTGTGTGGCAAAGCGGGTCCCTGGACTACCTGGACCACTTACATCTCCTCTTCATTTCTGCGGTGGCTCTGAACCTCGTGTGGGATATGACTGGTCCCAGATTTCCCTCTCCTGTGCTCACCCCTTTGATTTAATTTACTGTAAAGCACTGAGCAGCTTCTGCGCTGGGTGTGGGCAGGGAGCATCCCCTCGCCCCCCTCACCGGCCTCCCTGGGGGGGCCTGGTGGCTTTCGGGGTGGCTTCCTGCAGGCCTACTTTGGAAGGTGGCCAGGCCTGTGCACACCTGGTCCCCTGCCTCACCAACAGACGACACCCGCATGTGCACACGTGCCCTCAGTCTCCTCCTGGGACACATCCCTGACATCATGGAGAAAACAAGCACAGGATGGGACCCAGGCCCCCAGCAGGGCCCCAAGGTGGCCTGAGACCCAGGAAGAGGGGCCCAGCGCCCCCACTCGAGAGAGTCGCAGACAGAGCCCCCACGCTGCATGCCAGCCATCGGGAACCTGCCTGGCGGGACAAGGCCGCTCTCGCTGTGGGGTTTTCCTTTCCCTACTTTCGAATGTTCTTTGTGTGTTAGGGACCTTCCCCTTCCACCTGAGTCACGGTTCCAAATGTTTTCTCCCAGGTCATTTGCCTTGCAGGCCTGCTTGTCTCTGTTCTTGTGAGGCTGTTTTTCAGGCGACTCCATTTGTGTGTTCCTGTTTGCTTGTGCAGATCTCTGGTGCCCCTGGAGTTTATTCTTATCCACGGCATGTGGAAGGGGCCTCAGTTTACCTTTTTCCAGTCCTCTCTGGGCCTGGCCCGACATGGATGTAGGTGAGGGTCGGTGTGGCCCTGGGGACCGGGACGGCTCCTTGATGCCACCCTAGTTCCCGGCAGCAGGTCTGAGCCCTGGTGCCCCCCTGTCCCAGGCCGTGTCTCCCTCTGTCACAGGCGCTGTCCTCCTCACACAGCCCTGCCAAGCGCTTCCTCCGAAGCCCTCCCTTAGCGATCCTGTTTGTTTTTCCACAGGATCTTTAGTGTCTAGCCCCGCTCTCTGTGGGAGCAAAGCTCATTGTGATTTTACTGCGTCCTCAGTAGAGTCTTTCCTTGGGGCTGCGTTGTGACGCCTTCACACAGGCTGGGAGCACCAAGACCCAAGCCACTGCTGCAGCTGGGGAGCAGGGTCCAGAGCTCCTTACTCCTCGGCCCAGGCTGCCCCCTAGAGGGAGCTGCGACTAGGGTCCGAGGCCGGCGTGGCCAGGACTCTGCTGCCCCAACCTGTGGCTCCAGACCCTGAGTCCCCAGGGTGCTCTCCTCCACCCCATCTCCTACCGGGAGACCACAGGGCACTGCACCCCGAAGATAAAACAGACCAGGCAATGGTGGGCGGGTACAGTGACCCCGAGTTCAGAGGCTCACGCTCCCGTTCTTGGGGCACGCAGTGGGAGAGTGCCTGCTTGCTATTCTGTCCCTAGAACTGCAGGGGACCCGGTGACTCAGGCAGGTGCTCCCCCAGGGTGGAGGGGGACACGGAAATTGCAGGAGGACCGCAGAGTCCATCGCTGCGCCAGAGGACACACAGCCAGTCCACAGGCCCAAGACGCCGCCGATGGAAAGGGAAGGTGAGAGAACAGGACAGGGCTCAGGGTTGAGCAGCAGCTGCCGAAACAGAAACGTCAGCAGAGAACAGGGGCGAAATACTTGAGGATATTTCCCAGGGTTAGACGTTTGGAAGGAAAAGTACCAAACTGGGGCCGAGTCCCCAGAAGGGAAGCGGACAGAGGTGGAGGGGCTCTGGGCCAAGGAGGCACAGCGCTGGGCCTCCCAATGCTGTCCACCCATCGCCTCTCACAGCTCTGAGGCAACACCAGGATTGAAGCACAGGAAGGGAGAGGTGGGAGCCCAAGGGCACAGCCCTGAGCCTGTGGGGCCTCAGGCGTGTGGGCATGGTGGGGGCAGAGGGAAGCAGGGGCAGGTGAAGACGGGGAGGCGCCAGGCTCCCTGTGCAGCACCTCGGCCTGTGACCACCCAGGCCCAGGGGTCTTCAGCTCCAAAGGTTCCTCCCCTCCAGCTCCAACTGTGGCCACATCCACCCCAGCCAGCAGGCCCAGCCGGTGCATCACCTCTGGGTGGCTGAAACGTCCTGGGAGAAACAGGTCGGCTACACAGATGAGAATCCACAGGGCTGTAGCCCCACCAGCACTGGATACCAGGAGGAACGCATGTCCATGGCTCTGCAACAAACCGTCTTCAACCTAGAATTTGACACAAGCTCTTCATCAAGTGGCAGGACAGGGTGTAACATGTCAAAGCACAGAACACAGGTGTTCATGTTCCATGAACCTATTGTTAGAAAGTTACTTAAGGATGTGCTCCAGCAAGAGCAGGGTAACAGTAAGAGAAGGGTGTTGAAGAATCAGTAGATCCAATTCCATGTGGAGGTAGGGCAGGGCTGGGGAGCAGCCTGGAGCAGGGATGAGAGGCCCCATTGGGCCAGGCAACAGAGGCTACCAAGAGCAATCTCCAGGAAAAGAGGGGCTTAAGAGGAATGTCATAATAGAGTAGCACCATTTCAGGGGAGAAAACCGTGGTATTATAAAGACACACTTCTAAGAAGCCATTAAAACCCTAAACACAAAATTTTACCGAAGAGTTGGTGATAGTTGAGTGTAGTGGTGGACACTTATATCCCAGCTTCTTGGGAGGCTGAGGCAGGAGGCAATTCAAGACCTGGAAAATTTATCTAGACTTTGTCTCAAAGTGAAAAAGGGAAAAAGGTTAGGGATATAGCTCAGGGATGGAGCACTTGCCTAGCATGGGCAATCTCTGATATAGGAAGAAAAAAAACAGATTTGGGGATAGTACTTCTGTGGGGTTTTTCTTTGTTGCTGTCTAAATTGTAGAAAAAGACTTATAGACAGGTGCAGAAAATACATCTCCTGCAGTCTGGAGTCACTGTTTGGTATGAGTTTGATACATGGAGGAAGGACTGGATGCTAAGCCATTAAGATTGGTTCCAAGATGAAATTGTAGATAATCAGGAAGCATAGCTGGAGAGAAATCTCAGCCTGGGGTTCCAATTTTCAGGTCGTCACACATGGAGATAGTCTTTTTAAAAATCTGACAGCTTCTGCCTTTTTAATTGAATGGGTTCCGTCTTGAGAACCCCAGGTCTAGAGTTGAAGATCTATCTTCCTGTGCATGTTTGGGTTGGGTTTGTGCAAATGTCATAAGCAGTCCGTAATCAGATTCAATCTCCACAAGAGTCACTTGAGTGAGATCCTGGTGGCTTTTTGGAAGAGTTCCGATGTAATATGATAACGACATTGCAGGAAGGGTGGGCAGAGTAAAGGAACCCATTGGTGCTCGCCTTCCCGGATCCCCTCAGGTCCCCAAGGCCTTTGGGAGGAAGCAGCGGCCCCTGGGGCGGCCCCACTCTCCGCAGTGGTGTCCTCCATGATTCCCCAGACTTCAGGGTCAGCCTGTGAGCGCGGGTGCGGCCCCCAGCTGGCCTCCACCTCCTGCAATCTTGAATGTAAAAGCAGATGGCGCTGAGGGCAGAAAGTGGGGCCCAGCACGGGGGCTGCAGGGGGCAGGTTTGCCATGACCCTGTCCGTCTTCCCCTTGCTGCTGCAGCTCCTGTCTGTCTCCAGCTCTGGGACATTCACTTGACAAGTTCGGGACCGGGCCATCTCGTCCCCTCTGACCTTTTCCAGCAGGACTGGGCCAATGGCGGCTTGACCTACTCAGTGAATCTAAGGAGCCTGAGGCCACCAGGTCTCAAGGGAGGACAACCGTGGTGGGCACAGTCTCGCTCGGGGGGCACGCGCACTGCCACAGCCAACTGCTGTCTGGAGTCGTCCAGGGCATGGACTCCCCTTCTGCCTAGCAGCGCCTGGTGAGATGGGGCTGTGAGAATGTGGGTGCTGACACCCGGACATTTCTGGTGCGACAGCAGTGAAGGTCCTGGTCACCTTCACTGGGGGACCAACCCCACGCGGGACTGCAGCTGCCTGCTGCTCCACGCAGCCTGACCCCGCCGGCTCAGAGACGGCTTGTTTCAGGGCTGAGCCAGCTCTGGATTCATACCCTGATCTCCAGCACTTGGGGAGTCACCGGTTCCCCCAGCCACCTCGTTTCTGGCTGCCCAGCCAGTCAGGTGCGGAAGGCGCAGGCGTCTCTCTGCATCTTGGCTGACAAGATGCTCCAGGCTTCTTCGTGACCCCTCTGACCCTGCGCCACCCCCGGGGACCCAGGAACATCCATCTGGCTGTCTCTCTGTGGCCACAGTTGGTCCCCACCGTCGGCTGGGGCTCCCAGCCACTCGCTGTGAATTGGAGTGGGCCTCAGAGCCACACAAAACCCTTGCACTGCCCAATCTCCTTAAAAACAATACCTCTGGAGCTTTTAGAAAAAGCAACCATCTCACCTGAAAAAGAACTGAGACAGTGTCTCCTTCTGTACCCCAACTCCCACACCCCCATGGGGTGCAGCCCCGAGCTGCAGCTTCTCCCCAGCAGGGCACAGGCTGGGGCACGCAGTCCTCGGGGCTGTCACACACTTCCCTCCCACGGTGGGCATCTGTGGCTGTCCTTTCCTCCCCTCAACTCACTGAGCCTTCAGACCATGACCCAGGCAGGTTTCCCAGTCCGCTTAGCTGCCCCGGAGCAGAGGGGTTCAGAGAGGCCTGGCCCTTGCTGAGGACACAGCACAGCACCACATCTGATGGGGGAGCCTGCTCCCTGTGGGCACTGGGGACGTGGGCTGCGGCTCTCGGTCACATGGACAGGGTTGTGGGGATCCATCCTCCATGCATATGAGGACCAAGGCCCTCCACTTCACAGGTGGGCTTCGGGGGACACTAGGAATCAGATGCAGCCGGGTCCATCACCCCTCTGGGGAGGACACAGCTCCTACAGTCAGGCGTGGCCGCCTCGACCAGGCACCCAGCGAGGGGCTCAGCACCTCTGACCCTCCTGGATGAGCATCCCCCTGGCTGTGGTGGGCAGAACGCGTCCCATCTGCCTCCTCTTGGGACTCAGGGTATAAGGAGAAAGAGCCACGCAGTCACCTGTCTGCAGACGGTGGGAGAAGTCTCTCCAGAAATGGCAGTGCCATGCTTGCCTGGAGATGCCCTCATGGCAGAGCTGGGCACACGCAGACTCCTATGGCAGCCGAGCCCAGCACATGGTGCCCTGGCCCAGGAAACTCCTGGCTTGGCCTTAGCAGATGGTGCCCGCTCAGAGTCTGGGACAGGTTCCCAGGACTCAGGGCTGGAGGTCCCAAGTCTCTCCAGGCCTGCATCCTGCGTGTGGATGCCAGGGCTCTGGGACCAGGACCCTGATCCAGAGTGCAGAGTGGACAGGCGGGGGCCCTGCTGCACCCTGTGCTTTTCTCCAGGGAGCAGTGAGCCCTGATGACAGTGGCCCAGGGAGGAGGTGGGGCCCAGCCAAGCTGCTGTCCTCCTCAGTGTGGCCCCTGTGTTGCCCTCAGTCAGTGGAGAGCTAGGCCAGGGCCCCTGGGTGGCCTGGATGGCCCCTGCCCTGGGCACCATGTTCTTCATGGGGCCTCGCCTGTACTCCTAGCTGACTCGCACACAGAGCATTCCCACATGCCCTGCTCCCCCAGGTGCCCGCTAAGAGGCCCCAGGGTGGCATCTTCAAACACCCAGGACCCTCTTATGGAAGGGCAAAGGACCTGGCTGCATGGGAGGGGAGGACATGGCTCTCAGGGGGGCAACTGGCTGGGGTGGGAGGGGCAGATCCTGCTCCTGGGCCTCCCTCTGCAATAGGAGGGTGGAAGCCCCCTCAAGGCCCCAAGTGTCAGGGAGTGCAGGGCCAGCAGATAGAGCAGGGGCCGTACTGCCTCTGGCTCCCATGTTGGCTTCCCAGTAGGCAGGTCCATCCCCAGGGTGCATCCCAGGGTGCATCTGGCGCACAGGACCCCAGGATGCAGGGATTCCTCTCCCTCCTCTCCAGGACTTCGGCCTGCATGGCTGTCACAGCCACTGGCCTGGGCAGACACAGAGCAGGAGCATCACAGGGACGGAAATGCAGTCTCCACCCCTGAGACCACACAGAAGT